GTTATGGTTTGTCATCCACCTGTGCACTTCCAGACCCTGACTGTTGCTTGCACATCCGTTTGACAAATTTGGCTTATATGTATGCAGACTGACGGTTCCTTGACTTTCAGGCAGATATACTCCGACTTTCAAGGAACTATTCTTATTTTCATATCACTATCACGCCCCCCCCCCCCCCCCAATCACCCCTTTTTCCACCCGTGACTACGCTTGACTAAGGGACGCCAGAATTTAGAATATCACACACCTTGAACCGTGACGTTAGTACCTCGATGGACAGCCGAATCTGTTGTCCTGTGTAGATTGGGTGAGGGGGGGGGGGGATTTAAATTTAGAAAAGCCACAGTAACTAACTACAAACCGTACATATGTACACTAACTTTACTCACATTTATTTTTTGTGGATAGAAATCACCAAAGTTTTTCAGTCATATCGTTTCACGTCTGCTGGTATTTCTTCCGTACTACGTCACGGCTTTCTGCGTAGCCTTGTCTTTTGTGAAAATATTTCGTTTGCGTTTCTTGTGGGTATCGTTAACCTCAGGGGCGCACGCATTATTTATCGGGGTGGTGGCCTTTTTTTTTTCTTCTTCTTAGCGTTCGCGGGCTGTAAACTCTAGCGGAAAGTCCTGGTTGTTCATCCACTTCTGGACTTTAGTCTTCTTCCAGAACTTGAGTTTTAAGTACACATCAGTTTTACAGATCTGGTTCCCTTACTTACAGACTGTTGGTTCTTTGTCTCGCAGGCAGATGCATCTCTTATTAGTCGCCTTATACGACATGCTTGTAGCGGGGGGGGGGGGTATTGATATACACCCCCCCCCCAACGGGGGTTATAAAATCCACATTCAGAGCGTTTTTATTTAAAACACTTTCAATAATTAATGCACTAAACAGTTTCTTTTACAAAATTAATTATATAGTTTAACCCTTTTAGCCCCCAGCAGCTGTAACTTTAACCCCTTCTATGCCAGCAAGCTGAGCTTAAAAGCTACAAATACTTGGGCTTGAATGCATTCAATGGAGACAGTATAGCACTGAAGTTGTTCCGTTTTTGTGTCAACCACACAGCATGTCTTTCACTATCCCTTGTGGGGGAAAAAAACCGGACACAAGACTGCCGTTTCAGCATAGACACGCGCTACAAGTCTATCAGAAGTGCCAACACAAACAACCCAGCCAATGGAAGCAGTAGTTACAACAGATCAGTAGTGCACAGGAAATTAATCGCATAAGGTACCATCAGTTTTCTTGACAACAGGCCACCCTTTACACTCTGAACCCGGAAGTTCAAAATACAAACTTTATTTCACACAATCAGAAAGCATTTTTTTTAAAATCCACAGCTCACAGTGTCACGTCATGCATTCGCCTCAGTAGCTGGGCAAGTTATACCATTTCAATCAACATATGGAGGAAAATAAAATGGCCAACCACTGTCAGAAGAAGCTAGAGAGTGAAGTTGAAAAATGAAGAGGATATGGGGTGAACAGCATGCGATAGTGAAGGATAGAAGGACCTGGTGAGAGTTGGCTGAGGGCCTATGCTCCATTGGGGGTTAGAAAGACAGAAGAAGAAGATGTTCAGAAACAAAAATCTGCTGTGACTACAACTAGCAAGCCTGTCTATCTGCTAAACTGACGAGAACTGACACACAACACACTGCTACTACCACCAATGGTACAGGAACTGTGCCTGCTGCTGAAGATGGAATGCAGCATTTATGGGAATTCAAAACAATGTTTTCCCATTGTGAATTTAAATAATGCAGACATAAACAATACATTGTACAATTTATTTTCCAGCTTACTTCGTAGTATCTCAACAGGTGTTTTACTACAGAATTACATCAACATACAATGGAGCATACAATACAACCCTTACTGCAGCCACCACTGATGGGCCAAGAATTCTACAGTCTTCAACCTAATCAAAGAAATACACATAACTAAGGTAATGAACATGCAGTCAATTCAGAAACACAAAGTTAAATAGTGTTACATTTAGAAGCTGTTATATTAGTACCTGTTTACTGCTGTTTGTTGATGAAGGCTTTGTAACTGTAACAGCTGGTCTGTCCTTTGCAAGAATGATCTTGTAGAGCTGAACACGTATATATTCTGTATTGATTTCACTTCATACATTTAAATTTACAAGTATCAGATTCAACTGCTCTGAAGTTGTCCTGGGCACGTGTCTCTTGACAATTAGTTAGTTCCTAAACGTTGTGTTGAATCCCAGCCAGTTCCTACATGCTGTGTTGAATCCCAGCCAGTTCCTACATGCTGTGTTGAATCCCAGCCAGTTCCTACATGATGTGTTGAATCCCAGCCAGTTCCTACATGCTGTGTTGAATCCCAGCTAGTTTCTACATGTTTGTTGAATCCCAGCCAGTTCCTACATGCTGTGTTGAATCCTAGCCAGTTTCTACATGTTGTGTTGAATCCCAGCTAGTTCCTACATGATGTGTTGAATCTCAGCCAGTTCCAACATGCTGTGTTGAATCCTAGCCAGTTTCTACATGTTGTGTTGAATCCCAGCTAGTTCCTACATGCTGTGTTGAATCCCAGCCAGTTCCTACATGCTGTGTTGAATCCTAGCCAGTTTCTATATGTTGTGTTGAATCCTAGCCAGTTTCTACATGCTGTGTTGAATCCTAGCTAGTTCCTACATGCTGTGTTGAATCCCAGCTAGTTCCTACATGCTGTGTTTAATCCTAGCCAGCTCCTACATGCTGTATTGAATCCTAGCCAGTTTCTACATGTTGTGTTGAATCCAAGCTAGTTCCTACATGCTGTGTTGAATCCCAGCCAGTTCCTACATGCTGTGTTGAATCCTAGCCAGTTTCTATATGTTGTGTTGAATCCTAGCCAGTTTCTACATGCTGTGTTGAATCCTAGCTAGTTCCTACATGCTGTGTTGAATCCCAGCTAGTTCCTACATGCTGTGTTTAATCCTAGCCAGCTCCTACATGCTGTATTGAATCCTAGCCAGTTTCTACATGTTGTGTTGAATCCAAGCTAGTTCCCACATGCTGTGTTTAATCCTAGCCAGTTTCTACATGCTGTGTTGAATCCTAGCTAGTTCCTACATGCTGTGTTGAATCCCAGCTAGTTCCTACATGCTGTGTTTAATCCTAGCCAGCTCCTACATGCTGTATTGAATCCTAGCCAGTTTCTACATGTTGTGTTGAATCCAAGCTAGTTCCTACATGCTGTGTTGAATCCCAGCCAGTTCCTACATGCTGTGTTGAATCCTAGCCAGTTTCTATATGTTGTGTTGAATCCTAGCCAGTTTCTACATGCTGTGTTGAATCCTAGCTAGTTCCTACATGCTGTGTTGAATCCCAGCTAGTTCCTACATGCTGTGTTTAATCCTAGCCAGCTCCTACATGCTGTATTGAATCCTAGCCAGTTTCTACATGTTGTGTTGAATCCAAGCTAGTTCCCACATGCTGTGTTTAATCCCAGCCAATTCCTACATGCTGTGTTGAATCCCAGCCAGTTCCCACATGCTGTGTTTAATCCCAGCCAGTTCCCACATGCTGTGTTTAATCTCAGCCAATTCCTACATGCTGTGTTGAACCCCAGCCAGTTTCTTTGCACAGTGATGAATTAAAGCCCATATTTGCTGCAATGAAAGACAGCCTGACTACATCCTTAATACCTCACTTCAGATTAAATAGAACCCTGTTATTTAGTAACTTTTTAAAATTATTTCCTTACACAACTGATTTACACACCAATTTACAATTGACGCTGCTTCTATCAACGATGATCTGCAATTTTAGTGGCAAAATGTTTGTGTTGGCACTTCTGATGGCTGCTTGGCATACTTAATGTGTCAGTATGATACTATTGGTTTTGTCAAGACTTCAGCTTCAGTTTTTTTCAAAAAGGAGAGCAATGGTAAAGGTAAAGTAAAAGGTAAAGTCTGGAGTTGTGATCCAGCATCACTGCACATGGTTATAAACCATAAGTGCTTTGCCACCAGTACGGAAGGCTGATAAGAAACTGTCTGCCTGTGTCGCCCTCTGCACGTAACTCCGCAGCTACAGCGATGTTCCTCCATTTACCCCAGAATTTTAACTCTGGTACCCATTAGCTAGAGGTTGGGTGAACCTCGGGAAATGCCCGGTTTCAAACACTGGCCGTGTGCTGCAGCGAGTTGCTGCTGGATTTGAAGGTGTGTCTCCTATGGACTGCGCTTATGCTGCCCCCTTCTAGAAAGCAATGGGCATTCTGTATAGTTTTCATTGGCACAGGTAAGGAGTAATGAGGAGGCTGACATGTTTGACATGAAGTTGGAACTGTGACTAGCTAATTACACACAACAGATTTGCCAAACTGTTTTTATTTAACTTGCCGTTTTTTCACATCTTTTTTTTTTTAAATGCCTTCTTTCGTAATATAGCCCTTCATTGCCACATGTTTTCCACGACAGGTAAGGTGCCTACAGTCTGCATACAAACAAGCCAGATCTGTTATATGGATGTGCATGCAAAACTCAAGTTCTGTGTGCAGGTAAAACAAATACAATGTTGCAGTCATACACAGCAGGCTGACTCATGCATACCTTGCCTTTAACATCAATCAACACAGGTTCAATATTTGCTTCAGAAGACTGAGAACCTGTTTTTCTCTAATGCAATGATACCTGTTGTGTTAAAAAAAACAACTACTGAACACGCAACCTTAACTTTTACTCAGACACAATGAATCTAATTTGAATCTGCATCACTGTCTTTAGTTCTAATGTGTCAGTCATTTCATTCTTCCTGGACTTCAGAGAACTTGAACTTGCTTTAGATTCAACAACTACTGAACATGCAACCTTAACTTTTACTAAGACACAATGAATTGAATCCGAATCTGTATCACTGTCCTAAGTTCTGATGTGTCAGTCATCATATTCTTCCTGGACTTCAAAGAACTTGAACTTGCTTTAGATTCAACAACTATTGAACAAGCAGTCTCAACTTTAACTCTGACACAATGAATCTAATCTGAATCTGCATCACAGTCCTTGGTTCTGATGTGTCGTTTCACATTCTTTCTGGACTTGAAAGAGCTCGAACTCGCTTTAGATTCAGTAACATTTCTGTCCGAAGCATCTTCGTCTGTGACATCTGTCCCATCAGCACCTTTTGTGTCTTCATCAACATTATCAGCAGGATCTTCTGCAGGAAGCAATGTTGATATCTCATCTTTGTTCACAGACTTATCTGATGCAACAGATTTCATCTGCTGTTTTGGACGAGAAAACGTTATCTTCCCATGTGAACAGGCAGCTTCAGAAGAATCAAATTTCATTTCTTCTTCTGGCAAACCTGCTAATAACCGTTCCTGTTTTTCTCTTTCCAGTTTTCGCTCTACCAGAAATTCAAATGCAGCTGTCTGATTGGTCCTTTCTGACATGTCATTCTCAGAAACATCATCAAGAGAATATTCTGTGTACTTCTCTGGATGTTTTCTGAAATCTGGGACCGGCTGCCGGCGGAACTTCTGGGGAGGTCGAGCTGGTCTTTTGAACTTGAACTGGACAGTTTGATTCTTATCCTCGGCCCCACTCGATTTTTCTCTTCGTGGTGAACGACTGTGTGGTCTTCGTTCGTAATCCACATCTCTGGTTTGGCTAAGCTGGGTCTTTGCTGAATCAGAAATTCTGTTGTTACTTTGATTCATAATCTCATTATCCTCATCTGGGTCATGTTTCAATAAATCAGCATCATCTTTTTCTCGAGTCTGTGCAGTTGCCTTCAGGAAGGCTGAGTGTTTGTCCTCTAGTGCACCTAGACTAGCAAAAACATCACGACTGCGGGAAACAAACAAGTCGGTGCCTGATTTGATGATGAAGTTTGCTGCCTCTTCTTCCATTAGTGCAATCTGTAATTTGTACAAATTAAATGTTAATAAATAACAACTTGTATAAAATGAAGAACAATAAACATATAACACTAGAAATTTTCTTCTGTGTTGACTCTTAAAATGGAAGTTGGCATGTTTTATTGTAGTTTACAGCTAGGTTGCGATATCTGCGTCTTTCAGCTCAATATATTTTATTTCAGCAAACCCTTATTTAGTGAATTTTTACAACAAATGGGCCCTGGAATCCACATGGGGATCAGTTGACTTAATTTCAATAACTGCTGTACATACAAAAATGGCAGAATTATTTTGCCACACATAGTGACTTTGCATCATTAATTTGTTAGTTAATTAAACAGATTATCCTCACTGCACATAGGACAAGTCCATAAGCACTCGGATCCCATCTTCAGTATATCACTCAGCCTGTGGCGACTAATAACACCAGTTCTATGTTGGTTTACTATTTTTCTTTGGTTACCTGTATAGTGTTCATGTTTGGTGAAACCCCTCTTTTACTTGAAGTTCTTGTAGTCTTTTGAATGTTGCAGATTCAATGTCGTCTCCTGAATCATCTTCTCCTCCTGCCTCCTTGAGAGCATTATTACTCAGGCACAACAAGGCAGATGTGGTCAGAGCTCCTTGGGAAACAAGTAACGAAGTCAGAAGAGAAACAAGAGTATTATAGGCTGGAAAGAATGATACACCTGGGTGTGACCAGAGGGTTCGGCTGGCACACTAAGCTCAGAGGAAAGGCAAGATGGACAGACAACCAGACTACCAGCACCACCAGTATTGAAATTCTGCGCTGACTGCTGAGGATCGGGATGGAGTGCATATGGGAATGCCTCGAGTGCTGTGATGTCAATTCTTGACTCAACTCATCTCAGGCACAGTACTAACAAAATTCCATGAGTTGTTAGACATGAACACTACACAGGTAGCTAAATAAGAATAGTCAACCAACACAGAACTTGGCACTCAAGTCAAATGAGATCAGAAGGTGCTGGTATTCATCGGTATTTAGTATAATAGCGCAGAAAAAAATTATGCATAAAAACAGGGACATACTGTTGTGTACCCAACAGAAAAAAGCCATGTGTATCATCAACATCAAGTATTTACTGTCTTGTAGACTAGCAAAGATGATCATTTTTACAGTTTAGTATCTAGCACTCACATATGACATAATTAAAAACAAAACCCATTGTTCTCATTCGTTCATTACGTCTAACAAATAGGCAGGACAACTGGGGAATAGTTTCCAAGACTGGAACGCAATGTTTCATCATTTAAAAGCCCCATTCCGGCAGTTGTCGGGAGCCCTAATATAAACCAACTTATGGGCTGAACGGGGTTTCTGGCCGGGTGGGTGGTCATCATCCGAATTGTGGCACTTTGTAATCACCGGGTGTTGGTTGCTTGTTGTATTGTCGTACAGTTGAGTCACGGTGAACTGGATTGATGTTTGTTCAGTTGTAATAAAATAACAATATAGTATTTGGCATAAACAAAATTTCAGTTCTATAATGGCAAACTTTCTGTTAAATATTTACTGCGTTGGTTCTTACTTTCTAAATACTGATATCCCAAATAGTGTGTGTTTATACGACTCTTCAAGCACGGCGAAAAATAGTTGGATGTTGGATGACTATCTGGGCACTGGATGGAGGCTCATCTTATATACTGTTTGTAAAATATAATATAATGTGTGCAAGAAACAATATTTAACAACAAAAAACTGTCTATTTAAAATAAACTAAGTTTAAACTCAGTATTTTATAATTTGGATTACATATTTGATGAAATTTGGTTAAAACATCTTTCAAATCAAAGGTGTACAATGATAACTCAGCAAAAGTGAAAGGGTCACTTCCGTTTTGATTGTAGATGAACGCTAGGACTGGGATTGTAAGGTTCTCGTCTTTGTTTCTGTGTAACTGTCAACAGGGTTTGTTCAAACATGAGCGGCGGAGTTTACGGAGGAGGTGAGTACAGTTGTTTTATACAACTAAAATAATTAAAAAATTGTATAGTTGGTTTATCAAGAATACCTTGATATTTTAAACTTAAACGGTAACTACTAACTTAAAGAAACATCACCCGCGCAAATAAATCGCATTTTGATTCAGATTAGTGATCACCCCATCATATAATATATCATTGACATTTTAACAATTCTTTAGTCGCTGTCCACGAATCCTCAGGTATTAAGTTAAAAATTAACTGTTTCTTTTATTATTTATATAGCCTATGGCTTAGGCGTTGCGAACGCGCTTCGTAATGCGTAATGCCGGCGTGCCGGGTTCATTAATCCCACCTGCTGGTGATGATTGATGATTTGGTATTGGTTGGTTTTCGACACAGTGGAACACTGTCACTAACAGCAAAAAAAACTGGGCTATCCTCTGAATAACGGCCACATATTATGGCGGCCAAAAACAGCGCCTCAGTCGCATGTAAATTGCGGACTTACGTCGACTATACCGCCACCGCCAAGAGTATCACAGTATCTCCCGCGCCGCTACGTGCGCGCAGATCAGGGCTAAACTAGATTGCTGGGACTCACGGGCAAAGCTGCAGGAGATGCTGCTTGGGCTCTACTGTCAAATTTGGCTGGTAAGCTGGACTGCTTCAGCCGGCTTAGTGGAAGTTATGTCCCTTCGCGTCCCTTCGCCAAACTCAAAACAAGTCGCGGAAAAAGTCACGAATCAAATGACATACTTACCTATCATCAACCGGGTGCGTGTAGGGCTGCGTAGGGTTGAGTCTAGGGTTACCTATCATCATACGGTTGCGCGTAGGGCTGCGTAGGGTGTCTATCATCATCATCATACGGTTGCGTAGGGTTTGGGTTAGCGGTAGGGTTAGGGTTAGATGTGACAATTTTCACGTAGGAGGTCGAAATACTGGCCGACAATCTGATGCTTGTGGGAGTGGCGCCACTGGAAGGGTGCCAAATATGACAGCAATAGCGCGCGGCGGCTGGTGCCCCAATCGGTGGTGAATTGTCCGTGTCAGTAGCATCCACCGTCCGTCGACTGTTTGCGCGTGCATGCGACTGTGCGCGATTGTAGGGAACTACGGCGTCACAATTGTCACATCTAACGCTAACCCTAACCCTACCCCTCATCTTACGCAAACAACCAACCTACACGCAATAAGCAGCCCTACACGCAACCGCAGGACGATGATAGACACCCTACGCAACCCTACACGCACCCGGATGATGATGGGTAAGTATGCCGTTTGATCCGCGACTTGTTTTGAGTTTGGCCAAGGGACATAACTTCCACTAAGCCCCGCTAAGCCGGCCGAAGCAGTCCAGCTTACCGGCCAAATTTGACAGTAGAGCCTGCTGCTTGTGAGTCCCCGGCCATCTAGTTTAGCGGCACGGAAGATAATCTTGGCAGTGGCGGTATAGTCGCCGATCTGCAATTTAAGTCGCCTGAAGTCCGCAATTTACTTGTGACTAAGGCCCTGTCAATGTGTTTTTAGCCGCCTTAATATGTGGCCGTTATTTGGAGGATAGCCAAAAACTGATATGGTTGGTTCTTCATCGTCCTGTAAGGATGTGCGACTAACTTATCAGGAAAGAAATTATGATCTGCAAATCATTCTAGTATGTATGTTGAAAAAAATAATTCAAAAGTAGCCAGACAATGTGTATTTTTTTAATTCTGATTAAGATCATCTCAGTGCCTGTTTGTTAGTGTTAACAGTAACACTGAAGAGACGAGGTGATAATATCATATCAGTTTTGTTCTGAAAGAAATGTCAGAATTTCATTAATAATACTTTTTAGTTTATTTTTAAAATAATAGTATTACTTTATATAGTACCTATGAGTCACCATGGTGGAGCGGCCAGACATTCGCCTGCGGATCGGAAGGTTGTGAGTTTTGGCTCCTGATGGAACCGGGTTTTCTAAAAAAAAAAAAATGACTTTGGTTCCCAGGTCTCCGCAGCCTTGAGTGGGTGATATACCATGTCCACGTACCCACCAAGCGCAGATTGGTCTATAAAATATAGATCTAGCCCCTTCTTACGCCTGAAGGGGTGGAAAAGGATCCTATACTTACTTTAATTTACTTATATATAGAACCTAGTCCGGAGTATTGGCTGCATACATAATGTATTGACTGATACTCCGAATCAGAATGGGACCTTTTACTTATAGTAGTATTAGTATTTAAATTACTTACATTCATTTAGTTTTGTGAGTCAAATGCTCAGTCAGATAGTAGTGTAATAGTTACGGCTTCATAGAGTTACTAGTTAGCAGTGTACTCTGTTGCCAGATTTTAGTATAGTAGCCAATATATTTCCCATAAGAAAAAAACTTTTGGGGGGGGGGGGGGGGGGGGGGGGGGGGGGGGGGGGGGGGGGGGGGGGGGGGGGGGGGGGTCCATTTTGGCCCTGTTACTGTTAGAAATGGATGCTATTGTTGTTATTGTTAGTGTTATTAGACAAACAGATGCCTCATGACATCATGTCAGGCAATTCATATATATCCATCCACTTGTAAAATTAACAGTAAGCAAAGGGCTATCCTCTGAATAACGGGCATAAATTATCAGGGCGGAAAATATAACATTACAGGGCCTCAGTCATGTGTCAATTGCGCACTTCTGGGCACTATAACGCCACCGCCGAATTGCAAACTTTCGGCAACCTCCGCCACCGCCGAAAGTGTCACACATGCCACTCATGTGGCGTGGATTGGGGCTAAACTAGATGGTTAGGACTCATGAGCAAATAAATGAAGGAGCTGCTCCTGAGTCCTAGCCATCTTGTATAGCCCCAATCCATGCCACGTGGGGGACACTCTCGGAGGTTGCCAAAAGTTTGCAATTCGGCGCTGCCGGAAGCTCGCATGTCAATTCGACTGAACTGCGCATTTGACACACGACTGAGGCCCATTTAGGGTATATTTTCCGCCCCGTTATTTGGATTATAATAAAGCAAAGTATTCAAGTTTCTTCATTGCAAAGTTATCATGCCATTTGCCTCCCCCTGAAGAGCATTGGCTTATTTCATGGCTGTGCCATTCAGTTCATGTGTGCCAATTTTGTACCGAGATTCATGGGAATCATTGCCAACAACTACAGAGTTGCTGCTTTGTCTGGTGCTCTCGGGTGGTGTCTAGCTATTCTGCTGAGAGAAAGTGTGTTGAAACTGCAACAGATTTGATCCTTTTGGCTCTAACTTATAGCATACCAAAAAAAAGTGTGGCTTGGCTTTTACCATAAGCCCCTCCAAGAAGCATAGTTTGTGTGTCTCTCTTTACTACCCCTTAGGCCTCTGGTGCTAAACCCCCTAGGACTGAAAGAGTTAAGAAAAGGATCTCGAAAGCAATAATAGTAGCACCCTTTAATAGTTACAGCACAGTTCAATGAAGTATTTTAGCTTTATTTCCCCAAATATTGTAAACTGTTATTTCAGTGTTTACAGATTCTTGTATTTCTTGCAGATGAGGTTGGTGCAGTTGTATTTGACATTGGGTCCTACTCCTTTAGAGCAGGATTTGCAGGGGAAGACACACCAAAGGTAAGAAAGATGCATTGCTACAAACATAAACATGTCAAAACTCTTCTATGTGTGCAGGCGTTGTTGGTAATGAAAGAGCTGATAGACTGGCAAGTCTTTGTCTGTCAGTATAATGCAGACAGTGTCTTATTCTCTCTAATTCTAGTATATGTAACTCTGTCTCTTCTTGTGTTGTTAGTGATCTTACGAAGACAGCGCAAATGACTTTTATTCGACTGTAACTCTCTGTTATCGGTAGATATTCTGTTAGGACCCTTTTTCTGTGTATTGAACATATAGTGGTAGACCTTTATTTTATAGTCATATACTGACTGCCTTTACCTCCCAGAAATTTACCTGGTACCCATTTAAGTCTGGATTGACCTGGGAGCCAAGACCCTTTCTGAAAAAAAGTTTGTTTCTGTTAGAATTTGGACACACTGCCTGCATGGTTCGCAGGCAAACGCCTATCCACTCCACCATGGCAGCTTCCCTCACTCATGTAGTTGTGATCAATAAGTTAAATTATGCATCAAGGTTAGACAAAGAATGATAATATAATTTCTGTTATAGTGTCTGTCAGTATTCATTGCATTATTTTCTCGACACAGCCTGCTTGTTTCTAACCATCCCTTTTTATGTGTCCAGTCAGAGATACCCACGCATGTTGGGGTCCTAGAACAGATTGAGGCTGCTATGGACACAGATGGAGCGAGGGACAACAACATCACGTCCAAGCGGTACCTCATCGATACAGTTTACATGAAGCATCCGGTCAAAGACATGGAGCTTACTACCTTTCTTAAAGATGGAATGAGTAAGTAATTTATCTGATTTTAATATGTTGGTAAAATGTTTGTATTTGTGTCTTTCATTTCTTTCCTCGGCTTCATATGACAGTGAAGGAGAGGCAGCTAACTTTTGGGGTGAGACAATAAATCTTCAAAGAAGGACAGCCAACGTTCAGAGTAGGTCAGCCAACATTCAGAGTTGGACAACTAACATTTAGAGTAGGTCTGCCAACATTTAGACTGGGTCAGCCAACATTTAGACTGGGTCAGCCAACATTTAGACTGGATCAGCCAACATTTAGACTGGATCAGCCAAGATTCAGAGATTAACAGCCAACATTTAGAGATGTACAACCAACATTCAGAGATGGACAAGCAACATTCAGACTTGGAAAAGCCACATTCAGACTTGTCAGATTTGGACAAGCCACATTCAGACTTGGACAAGCCACATTCAGATAAGGACAAGCCACATTCAGAGCTGTCAGACAACACTCAGAGTTGGACAGCCAACATTCAGGAGAAGCATTCTGTTGTCCGTTTCTATTTTTTAATCAGTGGAGTGAAACCAATAGATTGATAAATGAAAGTCCGTTGTGGTGATTCTTGCCTACAAGTTAGCAAGTATATGTATGGAGTAGGAAGCTTCACAACGGCGAGACTTCTATGACAGACTGTTCACAACCGGGACAGACACGCAGAATAGTGCTACAGAGTTTGCAGAAGCCTTGAAGTCCTTGTACAGAATATCCACAGATTAACTGGGTAACATTGCCGCATGTCTTGAGATCAGTCGAGATTCAGCACACCACATCATCCTAACATTTTTAATTCTAATGTCAAATCAGTACTGCTTTATAGAGCAGAAATATGAAGAACACTTTAAGCAATAACTAAGCTACAAACATTCATTAACTGGTCCCTGAGCAGAATAGAGGGAATTAAATGGTATGATAGAATCACTAATATAGAGTTTTTGGAGAGAACTAAACAAGTTCCATTGGACCAAGAGGTGAGGAAAAGTTGCTGGCATTGTATAGGACACAGACGTTGAGAAATTCTGAGAACAAAATAATTAAGATATTACTAGACTGTCTTTGCACTGGATCCTACAGTGGCATAGAAATAAAGGAAGACTAAAAAACACATGAAGGGAGCTGTGACACTATGTGTCTATATGACTGCAGGTTCGAGACAGTCACGCTCATTTGGCCATGAGTGCTCCTTAGATTTAGCAATCTTCTAACCAAAACATATCTGGTACCAACTAACACACATCAAGCCGTGATACTCTTTCTCTGTAATTGTTTCTTATTTTATCCTAATCCTCTTCATGATTTGTATAATCATGCAGCACAACACACATGGTATGTATAATCATGCAGCACAACACACATGGTATGTATAATCATGCACCACAACGCACATGGTATGTATAATCATGCACCACAACGCACATGGTATGTGTAATCATGCAGTACAACACACATGGTATTATAATCATTCAGTACAACACACATGGTAAATACATACGATTTATGTCCACTTGAATCTTTAGACTTCACTTCTAACATTCACAAATCAAAAATGATAAAAATTGGCACCTTCAAATCTGATGCACATAAATGTTGTATATACACATTACATACTACCTCTACACAATATGACTTAATATACCAAAACAGTAATACTCCATTGCTAAAGCTGATATACACATCTAGAAAAATTGTTGTGTGGTCTCTAAGGACTCTTAAGACTTTCTACAAGCATGGCTATATTATGGCAGATGTTGTTTGATCCACTTTATTTAATTCTACAGTGATGCTTTGAGCAGAGTGGCAGGCCTCACAGGGAAGGTCATTAGGAGGCATAGTTTGGATCTTTCCTCTAGGCCATGCCAGCGAAGTGGGTATTGAAAATTCAACAGGTAGACAGATTGGCTGGATCTGCACCACTGGGTGGTGAATTGATACATGACAAGGCAGATGTGGTCAAGGTCCTTTGGGAACAAGCAACAGAATAAAAAAAAAGAAACAAGATTATTATGGCCTGGAGAGAATGAGCCACCTGAGTGTAACCAGAGGGTCTGGCCGGTTTACTACATTCAGAGGAAAGGCAAGACCGACATATAACCAGATTGTGACCGATATCATCATTATTGGAACTCTGCGTTGGCTGCTGAAGATGAGGACGGAGCACACGTCTAAATGCTGTGATGTCAATTCTTGATTCAGCTCAACTGTTTAATTCTGTCATTTCACACTTTTTCAGTTTCCTTTGTAGTTTCCCCCATCACTGCCATATGCTGCTTTATCGTAATTTACATCCTCTTCCTTGTCTTGTCTACAGTCAGTCTGCCCAGTGCCTTCTCCAGATAGGGCCATGGGACTGCCGTCATTAGCTTGACATGACATCGCCACCCCGGGCTTACTATACGTTCCGTTTTCACTCTGGCAATCCATTCTTTTCCCCTCACGGCATGTTCTGACCATTACTTTTGTATTTCATCTATAGTTGAAAACTGGGACATTTTTGAGAAAGTCATGGACTATGTATACAGTCACAGCATCAAGTCTGAGGCCAATCTCCATCCGGTTCTGATGTCCGAGGCGGCTGTGAGTACTGTCTTAGAAACCTGGAAAGATTGTTGTCTGTATAAACTGTGTATGTATGTTGGTATCTTATGTGAGTCATTTAATATCTCATAATCAGGCGTGTGCGTGGCTTAGGTGTTGCGAGTCGGACTCTTAATCCAACGTACCGCGGTCAAAACCCACTGTGTGCTGTGTGGATTTTTATTGTGGTATGGGACGTCGCAGGTCGACCCAACTTAGAATGGGTACCAGAATGGGCTGTCCTGTGAATTTAAAGACAGCCGGCGTAATGCTGACCACATTACCCACCGAGTGCTGATGGTCTGTAAAAATATGGGCGCTCTGCCCGATACGCCTAAAGGCTTGGAAAGGGATCTTTACTTTTTACTAATCAGGTGTGTCAAACTGGCGGGCACACCTGTGGTCCACGCAAAAGAAATATTCTGCAAACATTTTTATTAAATTACTCCTGTTGGATATGTGTGACCCTCAGGTTACCCTGTTGTGAAAGTCTTCTGTAAATTATGTTTTGTAGAGCATAAATAACTTGCTGCCTTTTGTTTTTTTAATTTCTTTCAGTGGGTCACAAAAGCCAAGAGAGAACAGCTAACAGAGATTATGTTTGAGAAGTACAATGTGCCTGCGTTCTTTTTGTGCAAGAACCCAGTTCTTTCTGCGTATCCTTTACTGGGAACATTACTTGAATTGGCACAGTTATAGAAGTACTCACATAGGTGGCGCCACATCAGTAGTCTTATTTCATATCATCATCATTAGGTACCAGACCTGACAAGATCTTATGTGAAAGTCGCTCTAGGACAGTGATTCTCAAACTGTGCGTGACGGTGCCCGCAGGAAAGCCACGACCTCTTCACAAGGGCGGCACAAAATATTTGAAGATACACAAGTTTTTTTGTTGTTCTTTTTTATCTCTTACATGCGAATGGTCATACTTTTACTTAGGTTAGAGCGCCGTGGAAAAATTTTAATTGAAAAAGTGCCACAGCTAAGACAGGTTTGGGAAACACTGCTCCACACAGGTGGATTGATGACATTAAAGAGCTTATACATCAACACATAGCCATTGCTGCCCATGGTTGGGCCATTATATGTCACATAGAGCTCGCAGTCTGCTTGCTTGTGTGGAGCATGGGAGATGTGGTTATGACCACTGATAGTTAAAGTTACAGTGTGTTGGGAAATGAGCAGGTGGATATACTGGCCAGTTCTGCACCACTTGGTGGTGAACTTATGTATGACAAGCTGGAGGTTGTGAGGGCTATTAGAGTGCCGAGGAACAGATAGATCTTTACAGTGTGAAGAAAGTGGCACTTTGAGGAGTTACTAGGTATCTGGCCGATGCTCAACACTCAGGGAAAAGGCTAGACGGATATACAATCAGACAGTTACTGGTACCATCTGAATTGGAACTCTTCGCTTGCTGCAAAAAATGTGGACTGAGTGCTTATGGGGGTGTCCTGAGGGTTATGAAAAACAACCAGAGGTTTCCACCGGAGTTTACAGCTGATGAATGCTAAGAAGAAGAAGAATGTTGACTAGAACAACGATGGAAGGTATGATTCCTGAAAGATGTCTTGGGATTGGGCTAACATCAGACACAGAACATCAGATAGGACCTTAAAGAGGATATTGATGAGTGAAAACAATCTCAGTGATACTCAGACAAGTTAACCCTCACCACTACCACAAACACATACCCCCTCTTGCTCAGTTATTCACTCATTTGAAACTATTTCAAACTCTAATGTTAAATGTAATACTTTAACAACATTGTAAATGTCGTGTATAATAATTTGTCAGTATTGCCATTGAGTCGTGTGTAATAGTTTGCCAATGAATGATGTGTAGTTTTAAGTTAAGGACTGACGTCATTTCACTCAGGTAGCTGAGGCCAGTGAGTCTCTATGTTCAGCAGTAAGCACAGGGTATTAATTCTGATGCTACTGGTAACTATCTGCTTGTATGCCCACATCACCTTTCCAATGAGTGTTGATCGTTGGCCTGATTCCCTGGTAATTCCTGGCACCATTCTCCTCAGACCTTGATATTCTCTCTGTGTCTCCACACTGCTCACTCACTGCCAGGGCCCTCAAAACCTCTTGTTTTTCATGCACTAGTTGACCACCAAGTGCTGCAGAACCAGCCAGTCTAACCGCCTGTTTTTCCAACACACAATTTGACTTTGTTGCTGGCAAGTTGTAAATATGTGACAATTTGAGAATGAATTGCATGTGATTGTTTGACATTGTTGCAATTCTTCTTTCTGTTGCCAATATCTGCTTATGTCGGTAGGTGTCGCAGTTCATCAGACAATCGGCAGCCAAGCCAGGGCACACTCAGTCGCTTGATACGCCATGATTTTATGCAGTCTCAAGTTGTCAGTGACTCCTTGAATCCATCTTCTTCTCTCCTGTGTGGATTCCGGGGCCCTATTGTAGGGAAAACAAGAATATACCCACTGCCTACCTCAAAGCATGTTGTAAGAGTCGACTAATTGGGAGCTTCCTTTGAATTTGGAATGCATCCGCCTGAGAGGCAAGGAACCAACAGTCTGCACACAAATGTGTCAAATCTGTCAAACGGATGCACAAACAACGCTCAGTTTCTGGAACAGGACTGCAGTCCAGAAGTGGATGAACAACCAGAACTTTCCACCAGAGTTTACAGCTGGTGAACGCAAATAAGAATCCATATTCTTCTCAGTCTTCCCCTGCCTCTTGGTGTTTCATTTTTCAGGTTGTACACTCTTGCTGCTGGCATCGTTGGATTTATTCTCATTAGATGGCCAAACCATTTCATTCTTTGTTTCCTGTAAATTTAACAATGGGTGTTGTTTCAAGTTCTTTTATCACGTCATTTCTCACTCGATCTCTTCTGGTTTTATTCACAGCCGTTCTCAAATATCTCATCTCACAGGTGGTTAGTTTTCTTTCGTGTTCATTTGTCAATGATAGTTTATTGATGTTGGAAGTAATCTATTGTCTGTGTATTCTATCTCTGTATGTAAAGAAATGTTGTGCACGCCTTAATCAGAACCTCACAGTTTTGCTAACGGCCGGTCGACTGCCCTGGTAGTGGACAGTGGCGCCACACAAACATCGGCAGTTCCAGTTTATGATGGTTACGTCATCAGTCAGTGTGAGTAACTACATCCACGTCTTTGTTCTCAACACCACTCCTTTATTCACACTGTCTCTCCTTTATTCACACTGTCACTCCTTCATTCACACTGTCTCTCCTTCATTCACACTGCCTCTCCTTTATTCACACTGTCACTCCTTCATTCACTCTGTCACTCCTTTATTCACACTGTCACTCCTTCATTCACACTGTCACTCCTTTATTCACACTGCCTCTCCTTCATTCACACTGCCTCTCCTTCATTCACACTGCCTCTCCTTTATTCACACTGTCACTTCCTTTATTCACACTGTCACTCCTTTATTCACACTGTCACTCCTTCATTCACACTGTCACTCCTTTATTCACACTGCCTCTCCTTCATTCACACTGTCACTCCTTCATTCACACTGCCTCTCCTTCATTCACACTGCCTCTCCTTCATTCACACTGTCACTCCTTTATTCACACTGTCACTCCTTCATTCACACTGCCTCTTCTTCATTCACACTGCCTCTTCTTCATTCACACTGTCACTCCTTTATTCACACTGCCTCTCCTTCATTCACACTGCCTCTCCTTCATTCACACTGCCTCTCCTTCATTCACATAGCCTCTTCTTCATTCACACTGTCGCCCCGTCATTCACATTGCTTCTCCTTCATTCACACTGCCACTCCTTCATTACCACAGCATTGTCTTCATTTACACAGCCTCTTGTTCATACACATAGCCTCTTCTTCATTCACACTGCCACTCCTTAATTCACACTGCCTCTTCTTCAGTCACGTAGCTTCTTCTTCATTCACACTGCCATTTTCATTCATACAGCCAGGATGATAAGAGTACCTAAGGACATCCACTGTGGTGAATTACAGATTGATATATTTCAAAGTCGATCTCTACTACAATATAAATATGTGTGCAAGAGGGACATGTCACGGTGTCTGTGGCTAAGGCGTTGCGAGTCCGACTCGTAATCCAACGTACCGCGATCGAAACCCACTGTGGGCTGCGTGGATTTTTATTGTGGTATGGGGCGTTGCAGGTCGGCCCAGCCTCAAATGGGTACCATGATGGCTGTCCTGGGGAAGTAAAGACGGCCGGCGTAATGTTGACCACATTACCCACCAAGTACCGATTGGTCTGTAAAAATATGGGACGCTCTGCCCATATACCCGATGCGCCTTAGGCGTAATAAGGGATCTTTACTTTACTATTACTTTACAAGAGGGACATGAATGATACAGGCATTGAAATGAATTCAAAGGAACAGGATGCCATGGTTATATGGAGAGGAAAATCAGGTGGGGTTAATAGGGATAAAGGAAAAAATGATTGCACATAGTTCAAGAGCTGAGTATCTGAGAAGGAAAGGGGCACATGAAATACATGCTAGGGCAGGAATAGTCCCATCATCTAATTGTGGAAGACTTTTCTTAACCGAGCAGGTCACACCTCCCTGAAGCAGAATAAAACACGGTCCTGTTCACGTTTCCCAGCTCATTTACACACTGTCTGACCAGAGGGGTGTCATGTTGTCTTGCCTCCATTTACATCAGCGCAGATGTTGCATGTTATATACTGCATGATGACACCACTTTCAACGACCCCAGAACATCTAGAACTGGCCCAACCCCCACTTCCCACAGCCTGGGTGAGCCTAGGTCACAGAGAGACTCTTTTCGAAGAAAGCAGTATAACCTGACACCCCTCTTACCTAAATCAGACTGAGAAAGTGTGTAGATGGGCCAGAAAATGTGAACAGGTCCTAAAATACTATCAACTGGAAAGGTGCCAGTGATTTTCAGGACTTTTTTCCTTTTAAACAAAAGTGTCAGTACTCACCACAGAGTGTATTGTATTACCCCTGGAAAAAATGATGCCCCAGAACAGGATGTTGGAACTGCTTACTGACAGAGAAGGAAACCTGGCAATACTCCAGAGGTCTGAATATACATTTGGTCTAATTGCTTTCTGGCACAAAACTTCAGTATGTTGACTTCAAGCATGTCCTAATGTGAATCAGTGAGCATTAACTGTTTCAGATATTGTCAAGTCCCCTCTGGCAGGAGACTTTGTGACTGCTGAATGCAAGAAGCTGATGGAGGAGCTGGGCATTGAGGTGGTCCCTCCGTACCTTATTGCCAGCAAGGTAATGTCCACTTTCATCAACAGTAATCTGTGAGGTAATCAGGAGAAATCAGCATTTCATTTACAATTATGTATATACATATCGAGAGAAGTGCTCCAAACATCTGGTGGTCTAGGGACAGAGTCCCTCTGTCAGCCTGAACAACATGGGTGAAAGCCAAAAGAATTGGCTTCTGGAATTTAAGAACCATGTTTAAAATGACTAAAACTGCCCAAATAATTAAAGAGATGCAGAACTATGAACTGCATATTCTTGGAAAGAGAAAAAAAGTGGCGCCTAAGGAAACATGGAGACGAATGATGGAAAGTGACATGAGTGTGGCATCTCTGACATGGAAAACTGCACTGAAGATTGCACAGGACAGGAAAGCATGGAAAGTCCTCTCATGTGCCACTAGGCATAAAGAGAATTAATGATGATATAAATTAGGGCTGTACTGAATAGTGATTTTCACTATTCGGCCGAATACGAATAGCTGGGCCAACTATTCGGCCAATTACGAATAGTGTATCATCATCATCAGGTGCCTTGCCGACTGGCGTGGGCGAATATGCCTCGCCACAATCTTTGATCTCCTGCAGCATATATTAGTTTGTGCTGAAACACCTCCATGCCATGCAACCAGACTGTCAAGAATCTTCTCTCGTTGTCTTCCTCTCTCCCTCCCTCCACATAGCTTTCCAGTGGTCACAACATGTTCTATTTCTCTCTTCTCATAACATGGCCGAAAAATGATGTCTCCTTCTGATGTCTGTGATTAGTTGTCTTCAAGCTCCCGCCTCTTTCAAAACCTGTAGGTTGCTTTTTTTGGCTGTCCAGGATATTTTAAGAATTGCTCTGTAAAACCACATCTCTGAGGTCTCAAGAAATTGTTTGGCCTGCCTACCGATTGTCCAGGACTCACAACACATTGCCAAGAAAACAGGCAGCTGACCACTTTGCAGATTTCTGAGGCACTGGTGGCAGCACTTACATCCAGCGAGTTAGAGTTAGCAATATCAAAGCTGAGAATGGGAAAATCACCTGGAATTGATGGTATCACCGAAATGATCAAGAACCTTGGAACAACTGCCAAAAAAAAAGCTGCTACAGATCTTTAATCATTGTTGGACCAGTGGCAAAGTTCCTCAAATATGGAGAGAAGCAATCACAATACCTCTGCTTAAACCAGGAAAGGACAGTTCTGATGCCTCCAGCTATAGACCGATCAGTCTTACCAGCTGCCTCTGTAAAACAATGGAACGTATTGTCAACCTTAGACTCCAATGGTACTTGGAAAGTGAAAACATTTTCACGCCGCAGCAGGCAGGATTTAGACAGTGCTACTCCACAGAAGACCAGACAACTTACCTTTCACAAGAAATTGAGGATGCTTCCAGGAAAAGAAGCTAGTGCTAACGGCATGGATAGATCTGAAGAAAGCCTTTGACAAGGTCTGGAAAGAAGGTCTACTGAAGAAACTGAGAGACTGCAGGATGAATGGAAGAATGTACAAATGGGTGAAAGCATACTTGTATAACAGAAGATCCCGAGTACAGATAGATGGACTTAAGAGTAAAAAAGTTTTGCTGCGCCATGGCGTCCTACAAGGAGGTGTTCTGTCCCCCACACTCTTCCTAGTCTATATCAACGACCTGCTTTCTGAACTACCCCATGGAATTAAAGCTGCAATGTATGCTGATGACTTGGTACTCTGGTGTACAAATGAAAATGCGACAGTGGCCACAAGGCTGCTACAAAGAGCCATAGATGCAATGGCTGATTGGGCCAACAAATGGTGTGTCAGCATCAACATAGGCAAATGCAGCACCACCCTCTTTACCCTTTCTCCTAAACAAAAATCAGGTGTCATGCACATAAATGGAGTACCCCTGAGAGAGGATAAGGAGCCCACATACCTCGGCGTAACGTTTGATGATAGATTAACATGGAGAAAACACATCAACAAGGCAGCAACCAAAGCCAGAAGGAGGGTAGCCATTCTGAGAAAACTAAGTGGAACCACATGGGGTGCTAGCGGGAAAATACTTAGAAAAGTTTACCAACAAAGTGTTCGACCACATCTTGAATACGGATCAACAGCATGGAGTTCGGCATCAAAAACCACATTGCAAGAATTAGACAAAGTGCAAAATCAAGCACTCAGAGTTACCACAGGCAGTATGAAATCAACACCTATAGCTGTGATGGAGAAAATGGGGATGACCCAAGCACCGAGTGAACGCAGAGACACCAAGATGCTTTTACAAGCAGAAAAGTTTCTTAGTATGCCCAGTCACCCTATGAATGAAAGATTCCAAAATTTAGCTTTGGGACGACTAAAGAGAAGTAGTTTTATCCACCAGGCCAAACGGCTCGGCAGACAAACCACTGATTTACCTGCAACTGATAGGATCCTTAAAAGCTGTCCCAGAACGGACCCCCTGGAGAGAGGAGTATAAGTTTCCAATACACATCAAGACTGAAGTGAAAGGGGTATTTGACAAGGAAGAACAAAACAGTGTGCAGCGCAAAACAGCCACCCTCAGTCTACTTGATGATGAATACCCGCAGAACCTTTGGGTCCGTGTTTACACAGATGGGTCAGCAGAAAGCGCAGTCAGAAACGGAGGTGTGGGAGTGTACATTGAGTATTCTAATAATACCAGGGATACAGCCAAATTACCAACGGGAAAGCACTGTCACAACTATGATGCAGAAGTTCAAGCCATCAAGATAGCGGCAGAGAAATTACTAAATACAGGGTATTTTTCACAACCAGTGGTATTCCTGACAGATGCAAAAGCAGTACTTCAGTCACTCCAGTCTGGAAAATTACCAAGCATACGGACACTATTATCCGAACTAGGCAACCGCTGTAAATTAGTAATGCAGTGGATACCTTCCCACTGTGGAGTTCCCGGAAACGAAAAAGCTGATAAACTAGCTAAGGAAGGTGCAACTGAAGAACAACCTAACATACCAGTCTCTTATCAACAGAAGAAGAGAATGATCAAATCAATCAGAATGCCACCGAAACTGGCACAAGATGATTACCATATTATGGACAGACCAGAGCAAGTAATTATCCTTCGCCTTAGAACAGGGCACAATCGACTTCGCTCCCACATGTACAACAAATTTAAGATTGGCCAATCAGCCATGTGTACTTGTGGACTGGCACCTGAAACAACAGATCACATCCTTCAAGACTGTCCCAGATTCAACGCTTTCAGGCAAAACCTTTGGCCAAAAGAGACACTTGTGGAAGTCAAACTTTACGGGCCGCTTAGTGAATTACAAAAGACAGTGAAATTCATACTAGAGACAGCTTTGCAGATATAGACAATTTATTTCATGCGAACGAAAGAAGAAGAAGAACAACACATTGCCTTTAAATATAAGTGCTTACTTGATGAGGCTAACAGTGACTATTGTAGAGACAAAATTTTTCACTTTAAAATTTCAACCAAAATGTAATCACAACCGTACATATTCGCTGCACTGTCACGAATACAGATGGAGGATCAGTCGCACCTCAAGAAAAATTCAAAGACAATTTTTAGCACCCTGCGGTTGGCACTTTATGCAGTTTGAGACACTTTGAGTGTGAAACAGGGAAAAAACTTGTCGACACTTGCGAGGGTTTTAAGTATCTTTATACCTTCTTTAATAATGTCACAATTTATAGCCCACTTTTCTTGATTTTCGCCTCGGCACCCCCTGGCATATGCGCCCAGTTAGAGAACCTTTGCTGTAAGGCCTCAGTCGGTTCAGCAGGCAAAGACCTTGCCAGCTGCTGTACCACGCAACTGGGTCACAGTTTTTCCTGCTACGACAGACTTAGGCAACAGCAACTATTGTGATAATGAGAGAGTTATTTCAGTCCATCGCAGTGTATGCAAAACGGGTGTAAGGTAGTCACTATTCGTATTTGGCCGAACCGCAAGTATTCGGCCAAATACCGAATAGTTATTAGGTCCACTATTTGGCCCCAAAGCAAATATTCGATACAGCCCTAATATAAATATCTATGTTGTACTAGTGTCACGTTTGTTGTAGGATTCTGTTCAGAAAGAATCCAACTTTTGTGTAAATTCAGTGTAGGTCTTTCTCTTCTTCTTTTACTTTTCCCCTTAAAATGGTAGTTGGCACATGTGTTATCTTTTACAGCTAGGCTGTGATATCTGTGCCTTTTGTGTCCCAACACATGTCCGATTTAATAAACATAATTGTGGGGAAATGTTCACTCTCCTTGGGGTATGTTTACTGCATTATTTCTGGTTAGTATTGTCAGGTAATGGCATCCATCATAATATCAAGGACACCACACACTGAATACTGATTTTGAAATTGTGACACGGCACAATACACCCAGTTCATCTCAGAATTAGTTGTGTTTTAACTGTAACTATTGTATGTTGACTGTAATGATTGTGTATTGGTAGCAGTGACTGTATTGACCGTAATGATTATGTTTTGATTGTTTGCAGTGCATTGATTGTAATGATTGTACACTGACCATAATGATTGTGCTTTGATTGAAATAATTGTGTATTTACTGTAATGATAGTGTTTTGACCGTAATTATATATTTACTGTGGGTTGTCCACAATTGTGGGTTGCCTGCAATGATTGTGAGCTGACCATAATGATTGTAATGATTACACTGACCACAATAATTGTGCATAGAGTGTAATGATTATGTCATGACTGTAATGATTGTCTGTTACTTGTAATGACTATGCTGACCACAGTGATTGTGCATTGATTGTAATGATTTTGTGTTGATTGTAATGATTGTCTGTTTCCTTTAATGACTACGCTGACCACAGTGATTGTGCATTGATTGTAATGATTTTGTGTTGACTGCAATGATTGTGTGTGTACTGTAATAATTGTGTGTTGGCAAAATATTTGCAATTTTTGACTTTTTTTTTTCCTAGGAGGTCGTTGCAGATGGACAGCCAGCAAAGTGGAAGAAGAAGGAAAATGTGAATGTTACCAAATCATTTCACAACTACATGGTTAAAGTAAGTGACACTGTACATTGTTAGAATAGTTGACACATGGTTAAAGTAAGTGATACTGTACATTGTTAGAATAGTTTACACATGGTTAAAGTAAGTGATACTGTACATTGTTGGAATAGTTTACACATGGTTAAAGTAAGTGACACTGTAGTGGTTATAGGAGGCTTTACATGGTTAGAGTAGTTAACACGTGGTTAAAGTAAGTGACGCTGTACATGGTTATAGGAGGCTTTACATGGTTAGAGTAGTTAACATGTGGTTAAAGTAAGCAACACTGTACATGGTTAGAATAGTTGACACATGGTTAAAGTAAGTGACACTGTACATAGTTAGAATAGTTGACACATGGTTAAAGTAAGTGACACTACATGATTATAGGAGGCTTTACATGGTTAGAATAGTTGACACATGGTTAAAGTAAGTGACACTGTACAGGGTTATACAAGGCTTTACGTGTCTGAAGTAAACACACAGTTAAAAGTATGTTATCCTGTGTTGTTGTTGGGTGTAATTGGGTAATGCAAATGTTTATGAGTTCAGGATATGAATATATTAACTAAAAATAGCATTTATGGTGGTTTTTCTTTGACCCCATTTTTTTTAAACAATCCAGTTTGGTGTCACATTTTCCCATAAACCTCAGTGATAGACGGGTCATGGCATGAATGACCTGATACATTATTATCCCCTTCCCGTAGAATGTATTGCATTGAATGCTTCACTCTGTTCATGTTTATTGATTACTCCTTTTATGAATATCTTTATATTCTTTGTTCATTTTGTTTTTAAATGCACATAAATGAATACAACTTTAATTTATTTGTGACCTTTACAAAATTGTTTTTTGGAAGATTTGTCTCAAAACTTTCTGAGAGGTTATGAGTCATTTTTCTCAATAGAGCATTGCTGTATGAAAGGGTTAAGTGTACAGCGCCTGCTGGAATACAAGAAAACAATGTTGTGCTGACAAATCTGCCATGACTAAATTCAGTCATATTATTTTTCATCAGGATGTTCTGCAAGACTTTGCTGCTACCATCGTCCAAGTTTCCGACAGTCCGTTTGAGCAGAGGTAAGGTGTCTTCTGTTTGTGAACGTCTACAGGTTTTAAGGAAAGTAACATTGGAGGAGCCCTTTGATATCTGTGGCATATGATGCTTACTCATGTTTGTATCGACCAGTTGGCACTTGGTGGGTGATGTGGTTGACACCTGCCGGTGGCCTTTACTTCCTAGAACATTACTTGATACCCATTTTAGGCTCGCTCAGACTGGGAAGCAAGTTCATTTGTGAAAAAATCTGCCTTGTTTCTGTTTTCATCCTGTGTAATGTAATGTGTTGTTTTTTTCCTAATATATATTTTGCCAGGGATTCCTATGAGTTCATGTTTTTTTTAAAATGATTAATTCTTCTTCTGCTTTGCGTTCGGTTTTGTATGCTCAGATCAGACAATCAGGTGGGTTGCCTTTATTAACTCACATGTCAGTAGCAGGTCCTTCATGGTTCCCCATTGCTTGCTCTGCACACTTTGCTCTTGAGGCCAGGTGTCTTTTCGAAGTTGCAGGTAGAGTGGGCAGGTCCGCAGAATGTGCTCATGTGTTTATAGTCCTGTTTGACAGGCACACTGTGGGGACTGTTCAATCTTTATTTTATGCCTATGGTAGTTGAGCCGCAGTGTCCTGTTCGTAGACGGAAAATTGTTGTATGTTGCTTTCTGTTGAGTCTGCTGATGGGGTCTTGTGGATGTTTACTGTTAGTTTGTTCTCTCCACAATTCCTTGTATTTTTCCTTGATAAGTGTTCTCATTTCTGGTAATAACAATTAATGGGAGTGTTGTTTCTCCTTTATTCCATTTTTAGTAAGTCTGTCTACATTTGTGTGAATCAAGAGATTTTTACTTGTTGTCCTTGTTTCACATGCACACAACAGTACAAGTTTTATAACTATTTGAACCTCCATTTTCTCATTGACATTTTCATATTAGTATGTAAAATGCCTGTTGAATATTTTTAATTTTTGTTTAACTTGTAAGATTTTTCATTTTGTTCAGTTTGTATGATTGTTTCATCATTTTCAGTTTGTAAGTTTCGCAGTATTGATTTAATTTGGGCTTTTTTAAATACCCTACTGTAGCCAGGCCGACACCATGCCAACTGTACATTACGAGTTTCCACACGGTTATAACCGGGATTTTGGAAGTGAGCGGTTCAAGGTCTGTGAAGGACTGTTTGATCCTTCGTTTATAAAGGTAACCTACATTAGATCAGATGTGTCTAGTTCAGGTGTGACCTTACTTGTTGCTCCTAGAACATGCGAAGTCACAAACCAGAGGTCGGCCACACAGAAGGTGGGCTTGCTAAAAGCTGTAGGTATCACAGTCTAGCTGTGAACCAACAACCGTCCTTTAAAGAGCGAATGAAGAAGATCGAATCAGAAAAACCATGACTGGCTTTCATTTGATCAATGCTGTCATGTGTGAGAAATGCTGATGGGAATTGGGGTGAGAAATGCTTATCTGGGTCCATTAGCTTGGCACAAGTGTCCATGATTGTTTTTTTCTTTCTTACTTTCTCTTTTACCACTTTGGATGTCAAGGGAGGTATAACAAGTTTAGACCCACAGCCTGCTCAAAAGCACGTTGTAAGATTGATAATGTCCTCTTTCATCGAGGACATCTGCCTGAGAGGCAAAGAACCAACAGATTTTGTCATTTGGTTGAGTGCAGTTTCTCCAGAGATCCCCGGAGATCATCGCTGGAGCTTTTTGTGCACTTTCAGAATGTGGCTAGCTGTTCTGCAGAGAGAGGCCGAGCCTACAGAATCATAACCTGGTGGAAGGAAATCGACCCTCTAGACTGTACCTTCCTCTCTTGGCTGCCACTTGGACTGCACTTTGTTTAATGTTGGGCTTAACCTTTTTACACCTGTGTCCCATCAGAATATGATAAATTATTGCTCTACTCACCTGATATTTTATCAGACACAGAAATATAACATGTTTCAGGACAGATATTTGATAGCTGTCAGTTTGATACATCAGTTTCGTACCTAAAAATCTGATACATGTCAGTATGATACTTGTCAATTTGACACCTGTAAATTGAATGCATCAGTTTCATATCTGACAATCTGTACACCTTCAGTATGATACATGTCACTTTGACACCTGTACATTTGATACATCAGTTTCATATCTGACAGTCTGTACACCTGTCAGTATGATACATGTCAGTTTGATACCTGTACATTTAACTCTCCATGTCAGGAATCTGGTGGGAACTCCATGTTGGGAGTCGGCCATGTGGTGACCTCCAGTGTTGGCATGTGTGACATTGACATTCGTCCGGTATGTGACTTTTTTTTAAAGGAATATATTTGTTTTTCATTATTTACGCTGACATATTGTGAGGTAAAAGTTAAAGCCATGTTTTGAGAAATAATGCGTGTTGGTTGTTAACTACTCTTATGGATTTTAATGTGTTTAAAGAAATGGTTGAGTTAATCAGAATGTTTATAAAATGGTTCAGTTAGTTAGAACTTATTTCTTCTTCTTCTTCTTCGCGTTCACCAGCTGTACACTCTGGCGGAAAGTTCTGGTTGTTCGTCCACTCCTGGACTGCAGTCCTGCTCCAGAACCTGAGTTGCGTGTACATCAGTTTTACAGATCTGATACACTTGAATGCAGACTGTTGGTTCCTTGCCTCTCAGGAAGATGCACTCCGACTTCAAAGGAAGCTCCCAATCACTCTACTCTTACGGCATGCTTTTGGGTAGGCAGTGGGTCTATTCGTGTTTTCACACAATGGGGTCCTGGAACCCATACAGGGAAGAACTTATTTGACTCTGGGGACAAAACACCTGATATTTGGCATACCTGTCTGTGGACTGGATAACCTGATATATGGCATACCTCTCTGTGGACTGGATAACCTGATATATGGCATACCTCTCTGTGGACTGGATAACCTGATATTTGGCATACCTGTCTGTGGACAGAAAACCTGATATATGGCATACATCTCTGTGAACTGGATAACCTGATGTATGGCATACCTCTCTGTGGACTGGATAACCTGATGTATGGCATACCTCTCTGTGGACTGGATAACCTGATGTATGGCATACCTCTCTGTGGACTGGATAACCTGATGTATGGCATACCTTTCTATGGACTTGATAACCTGATGTATGGCATACCTGTCTGTGGACTGAATAACCTGATATATGGCATACCTCTCTGTGGACTGGATAACCTGATATTTGGCATACCTGTCTGTGGACAAAAAACCTGATATATGGCATACCTCTCTGTGGACTGGATAACCTGATATATGGCATACCTGACTGTGGACTGGATAACCTGATATATGGCATACCTGACTGTGGACTGGATAACCTGATATATGGCATACCTCTCTGTGGACTGGATAACCTGATATATGGCATACCTGTCGGTGGACTGGATAACCTGATATATGGCATACCTCTCTGTGGACTGGATAACCTGATGTATGGCATACCTGTCTGTGGACTGGATAACCTAATATATGGCATACCTCTCTGTGGACTGGATAACCTAATATATGGCATACATCTCTGTGAACTGGATAACCTGATGTATGGCATACCTCTCTGTGGACTGGATAACCTGATGTATGGCATACCTCTCTGTGGACTGGATAACCTGATGTATGGCATACCTCTCAGTGGACTGGATAACCTGATGTATGGCATACCTGTCTGTGGACTGGATAACCTGATGTATGGCATACCTTTCTATGGACTGGATAACCTGATGCATGGCATACCTGTCTATGGACTGGATAACCTGACATATGGCATACCTGTCTGTGGACAGAAAACCTGAAATATGGCATACCTGTCTGTGGACAGAAAACCTGATATATGGCATACCTCTCTGTGGACTGGATAACCTGATACATGGCATACCTGTCTGTGGACTGGATAACCTGATGTATGGCATACCTGTCTGTGGACTGGATAACCTGATATATGACATACCTGTCTGTGGACTGGATAACCTGATGTATGGCATACCTGTCTGTGGACTGGATAACCTGATGTATGGCATACCTGTCTGTGGACTGGATAACCTGATGTATGGCATACCTGTCTGTGGACTGGATAACCTGATATATGGCATACCTGTCTGTGGACTGAATAACCTGATGTATGGCATACCTGTCTGAGGCCTGGATAACCTGATATATGGCATACCTGTCTGAGGCCTGGATAACCTGATATATGGCATACCTGACTGTGGACTGGATAACCTAATATATGGCATACCTCTCTGTGGACTGGATAACCTGATATATGGCATTCCTGTCTGAGGCCTGAATAACCTGATATATCGCATACCTGTCTGAGGACTGGATAACCTGATTTATGACAGCATACGAATCTATTCTTATTTTCCCTATAATGGGGCTCCGGGACCTACACGAGAAATATATTTTCATATTATACTTTTTGCTTTTTTAAAATTACAATATGTGAAGATGAAATGATATTTGTCCATGTCTTTCTCTACCAGTTTAAATATTACAATTCCCCTTTCGTTTGTCTTCATGCCTGAAGATGCAAAAGGGGGAGCTTTAGGGTATAGTTGTGACTGGGTTCTTTGTGCAATATAAAATGGCTTAGCATTGCACATCACCAGTAGCCTTGAAAATGACTCCTGCAGTGTTGATGGGATCAAAGGAGAGTGACCCAGATACTTCCTGACCAGCGGCTAGGTCGTTGACCGGTCAGCATGTGGGTGACCTGGTCGGTGATGATTCCTCTTGCCTTCTTCTTCTGCTTCTTCTTCTTCTTCTTCTCCTTCTCCTCCTCCTTTTCTTTATGCTCACTGGCTGTAAACTCCAGCTGAAAATTCTGGTTCCTCACCCACTCTGGACTTTAGTCTTGTTCTGGAACTTGGGTTTTGCGCACACAAATGTTTTACTATTTGTATGCAGGCTGTTTGTTCCTCACCTCTCTGGCAACTGCACTCTGACTTAGAAACATCCACAAAGTTGCTTTTTACGACTGCTTATGTGGGGGGCAGTGAGTCTGTTACTTTCCTCCCCTAAAATAGGACCTCTGAACCCGCAAGAAGACCTTCTGTATCTCCAACCTGTACCCGGGACTTGGTCTGAACCTGCAAGAAAGAAGACCTTCTGTATCTCCAACCTGTACCCGGGACTTGGTCTGAACCTGCAAGAAAGAAGACCTTCTGTATCTCCAACCTGTACCCGGGACTTGGTCTGAACCTGCAAGAAGGCCCTTTTCTGGATCTCCAACCGGTACCCGTGACTTGGTCTATGCTGGGGCTGTGGCCCATGAATGAATGTAGTTGAATAGCCCTGGTGTAGAGTATTATTAACTGGATGTTTTCTTGAACAGTATGTAGTTTGTTGTATCAGGTCAGCCTGTCCTGATGCGACATGAATGGGATAATTGTCTGACATTTTTAGGAAGCTAAGGTGGCACGGAAAAGAATCAGCCACCTCACTTAACCTTGTTGCCGAGTAGACTAAATCTAGCCACTTCTGGTTGCGACACAGCCCTACAAAGGCTGGTGTATCTCTGTCTTCAGTGCCGTTCTTAAAAAGCGCAGTTAAATTCCATTGGTTCTCTGTGCACCTTCGCAACCCAAGCTGGATTTATCAGGCAAGAATGGACTGAAACACTAAGCATTTCATGAATATCTGCCCTAACCTTCATCAGGTAATGCGGATGTTCAAGAGAACGAGCATGCAGACTATCTTGCTGACACTGCGGTTGCTATGGCTGGCCCAGTACTGAACAGAAGTGATGTTATCAATGCCATGTGCTGCACTTACCGTACCGAGGAACACGCCAAAGGACATGGCTCCATATCCTTGTCTAGACTGATGGACATAGGGGTGCAGCCTGGAGCTGCAAGAAATGAACATTTCACAAAGGGGACAAGACGTTGTCATTAACCAACACAGAACAGGCCTCATCAGTCGTTTTACACTTGCGGAGCACCTTTGGATCTGTCCAGAGTGTTGTAATGATAATCCTTTCTAATCATTAATCACTTTTCAATGTTGAATAGGACAAGATATGAATTCAGTAACTAAAAATAACATTTAAAGGGGTTTCCTTATGGTCTCTTTTCTAAAGGCAAGTTGAAACTAAATGTTCCCTTAAGCCTCAGTGGTAGAAATCACAGCACCAGTCACCCAGTATATATTGGGGTTTTCTTTTAAAGACCCTGCCTAATATATATCATTTGATGCTTCAGTCTTTTTGTTGATAAGGTGATGGCTTTACAAGTCTCTAGTTCCCTTCAGTAAAGGACTGGGTCTCATAAGCTAAGCAAAGAATAGTTATTTTATAACCAGCTATATATGTCCTAAGTGATTACCGCAGAGAGTTGGCATGGATTTGCAACCGTCCAATGGAAGACTAGCTGCAAAATGTTACTAATATTTTATTCTCTCAGGAATGTTCATATTTTTCGGATATGCTTCATTCTCCTAGTAAGATAAGCTTTAGTCTCCCAGGAATGGTCAGATTTGTTAGACAGGCTTAGATAAGCTTTAGTCTCCCAGGAATGGTCAGATTTGTTAGACAGGCTTAGATAAGCTTTAGTCTCCCAGAGATGGTCAGATTTGTTAGACAGGCCTCAACTTTCAAAGAGTAGTCCAGAAGTGGTCAAATGTCCTGGTTGCTCCTGTAGACATGGCCCATTCTAATAGTCGCATAGAATTGGTCAGGTTTTCTTGTATCTCACAGGAGTGGTCAAATCTCTTGTGTAATGCCCCTAGGTGTTGTCAGATCTTCTAGCAGTCTCCAAGAGTGGTCAAATCTCTCATGTCATCCCCCTAGGAATCGCCAGATCTCCTGATAGTCTTAAGGAGTGATCAAATCGCCCAGCTTTGCTGTAGTGATTTACATATCAGTCTGTCCAGACTTGCTGGTCAAATGGTGTTATTTTTTTGGATAATATACTGACTTTTCTGTATAATAAAACAATCTGATGGTTTCACATTTGTTTTATTCACAGAGTATGCGACTGAAGGTCATAGCTGCCTCCAGCTCCTCGGAACGTAGGTTCAGTAGCTGGATCGGAGGTTCCATTCTGGCCTCATTGGTAAGTGTTTGCCATTGCTTTCTGGACAGTCGGCTCTCAATACCACTGTCAAAACCAGCGCAAGACAAGCTGTCTGCAGCAGGGATCGAACCCAGCACCCTGGCATTACGAAGCGCATTCGCAACACCTAAGCCACAAACGTCAACATTTTTAGTGTACACATGATTTTTTTTCATTTTGTCCCCAAAGTCTGATGTTTGAATTTACATGTGTGTACAGTCTCTTCTCTGCAACTCTTTGGCTAAGACTGGTAGCCCAGTCTGCTTCTATGTTGTTGTTTTACAAGACTATCTTTCTTGCTTCTCTCCTATATTTTCAGAAATAAGTCTTCAAGTGTCATATTGTAATGAAGGCCAGCATGTTTCTGTATAATCGCAGTTGTAGTTGACAGCTAAGCTGTAACATCTCTACCTTTTCCCCATCACAACCTTCTTCTTCTTGTTCACCAGCTGTAAACTCAGACGGAAATTTATGGTTGTTTGTCAACTTCTGGACTCTAAGCCCTGGTCCAGAAACTGAGTGTTGCATTTAACATCCGTTTTACAGGTCTAGCTTATTTGCATGCAGACTGTTGGTTCCTTGCCTCTCAGGCAGATGTTCTGTGACTTTGAAGGAAGCTCCCAATCGGTCAACTCTTATTAAAATTTAAAACCAAAGACTTCTTTACTTTTGTCTTTTTCAGGGAGCATTTCAACAAATGTGGGTTTCCAAACAAGAGTATGAGGAGAGCGGCAAGCAGTCGGTGGAGCGGAAATGTCCTTGACAACAGGCCTCCATTTTTCCCCCTCATTTATTGTAAAAACCTAATTTTGTCAGTGTTGGCTCTGTTTCAATTTGTGGATTTTTATAAACAGTTTCTGATTATGACAGTGTTTTTAGTTCAAGTGACACGTGTGTTGTGTATGTTGCCTAGATACAGACAGCATAACACACAGCCAAACCACAAGGAGGGGAAATAAGTAACGCAGGGGAAATGATATCACAACAAAATATAGTTTATTTGGTGAAATTCTGTGACATCATAGCTACAAATGATTATAATTATTATGATGACAATCTCCAAACAAAACCTACACAAGAAATAGGAAGAAAAAATGTGTGTGTGCTGTTGTGTGTTAAATTTGTTCACTCTCTCTAATTTGTCCCTTCCCCACTAACAAAATGTTCGTTTTTCCCCTCCCTCTCACTGTTCCAAAAGTGTTGGCCTCCATTTAAACATGTTTTCTTCCATGTTCAGACTCTTTACCGTTTTCCTACTGTCTGCTCTAACTAGTTCATTTCTGTCCGTCTCTCTGCTATAAAAGGTACTTACATCTTACCCTTCTCTGTGTTTCCCTCTTTCATCTTCCTCCCTCCGAGTGTGGCCCATATAGTGCCATGACAACTGCCACAAGTACAGCATGCTGTTTGGGGTCACCCACCTCGACTGGCGTTCATTTTAGTACCTGATTCTTTCTGTCAGTTCCACGATTATCCCCCCATGTTACACACTAGCTCACTTCTGATAGGTCGACCTTTAGTCACCTACCTTCGCACACTGGGGGGGGGGGGGGGGGGGGGTGTGTGTGTTCGGCAATGCCCTTGATACTGTGTGTTGTATATTTAAGCACACCAGCACTTTTAACACTACAAAATTATTTAGAAACTAGAGAGTGCTGCAGCATGTCACAGGCATTCTCTTTCTCTGAAGAAAGACATAAATGCAAGACAAGCCAGAAAGGAAACAACATAGCTGTTACCCCAAAACAGCAGAGGAAAGTAAAAAATTGTATCAATGGAACGTGACCTAGTTTATCATGGGACTGATTTCTCTTTCCGCCGCCTAAGTTTACTCGCCATGGGCATCAGAGGCTTGAGACACCTACATAGAAATATGGTTGACAGTGTTACAGGCAGTGACCCATAGGCCACCAGTTGAACATGGATGGTCTAATGCAGTGGTCGGCAAAACGTGCAGCCGCATGCTGCTCTTTAGCCACCTGAGTGTAGCTCTGTATATTTGGTCAAATAAGATAATGATTATATCTGGTTGTATTTCACATTAAGTAGCTAGTTAAAACCGACTTTCCAGGACCCCATTTTTGAGGGTTAAACAAAAAATAGCCCCACTAAATTTCAAGATGAATAAAATGGTCAGGTTAAAGGAAACAATATGAATTCACACAGTATAGCAGAGGTCCATGCTCCATTTGCTGACAGAAGATGAAAGAACTTCATTCAACATTGAAATTGTTTGCCATGAAGGTAATTTCAGTTACGGACGAAATTACAAACCTAACAAATGCTAAAACCAACAGCATACTTTGCGTGAAGTATTTAACATTTTTTTTTTTTTCATTTAAAACTTTTGTGTGACAACCACCCGCCCCAGTGGTGCTTATATTATACACACACATTTATTTACTGCTGCCCATAAAACTTCCTGTAATTCTTTGTGCCCATCTATTTATTTGAACAAAGAAGACACAAACAATAATAGACTGCACAATTTATTGCCTGGCATATTTCGCTATTTATTGGCTGGAAAAAAATTGGCCGGCAAATATCCATGTTTCTTTTCCAGCTATACTTTCAAGATTGTTGGCAACTTTCTGTCTGTCCAGAAGATGTTGGGCACGGAAATCACAGCCCATGTGAAGAAAAGGTCTTCCAAAATTTCAGCACGCGATTTCTGGGTCACTGTTACCATCACATGCATTTAATCTGCTTCCCAGATACAACCATTCTTGGATCCTTCAACATTTTTTTTAATACCTAATTACACTATAATTTTAGGGTTGATGGCTGTGGCTTAGGTGTTGGGAACACGCTTCATAATGCCAGGGTACCAGGTTTGATCCCAGCTGTGAGAAGCCGAACATCCAGAAAGCAATGGCAAATTACTGGACGTAAATTTGCCTAGAAAAACCACAACAACCAAAAATTACTGGGGTTGGTTCTGCAACATCCTGTAAAGGATACACAACTAACATTGCTCCGGAACTGCACAGGCCAGCATGTTTGCCTGCAGATCAAATCGCCAGTTTCGTCTTTCCATGTACGTCATAATGTACTTCAAATTCTGATGATAGCACAATAAGAATAAATGATATTCTTTTACATTTATTCTTTATTTCCACTTTTAACACTTCAGATGTTGGGGGAGATGCAAGATTCTTGCTGCTTCATCCATTATTGACACATGATGCTGTTGTAAAGTTTCTCTGATGTCATCTTTACTGGTGCCTGCCTTATGCTCTTGTTCCCCTTTTCGTATATGCCTTGTATGGTATAGTATCACTTGTATGGTATAGTATCACAAGCCATTCTTATTTAGTGGGCTTTCTTTTTGACCCGTCTCAACTGTATACCGATAATGCTTTGCAAAAAAAGTAAATGCAGTTGTGAAATAGTACCATTATTTACAGCGTACGCACCGCCATCTTAGGAAATACACGCAGACGTTTAAAAACTTCGCTCTTTCAGATTTCCTGCATGAGCTTTTTTAAAATTATGAATAAAAAAATTTTTTTTATGAAAACTGGAATTATTTGTGTTAACTAAAATTCCGTAGAATGCTTATTTAGTTGCTGAACATGACAATTTTATTAAATTTGTCTTTTAGTGTTGAATTGCTTTCTTGTAAGGGCTGCACAGGTCATCATTCACAAACAAGGTTGACTGCAATGGATCTTCAACTGGCTTGGTTGTAAATTCTCTGACTGTCCTTGCACTTATAACATTGTCTACCTCTTGTTGCTATCTTGACCTTTTCTTTCCAGTAAGGCTTTGAACGGCATATTAGGTCATTTAATGTGGCAAAAATGTTTCAGTTGTCTATCTTTTTCTCTCTCTCTCTCTCTCTCTCTTTCAATAATTCACTTTTCATTTGAAGTCTTCTCCGTGACCTCTGTATTTGATTGGGGGGTTTCCCCCCCCCCCCCCCCCAATGAAATACAACCTATTCTTCTGTTTACATTTCAGTTGCACCATACAGCAGGGTTATGTATTCACCAAGTCTCGTTTTTATAATGTGCTGTTAGTAAGTTTCACATCTTATTTAGCTATTCATGTGGGGGGGGGGGGGGGGGGGGGGGGCCGCGTCTGTGGGATCGCTCTACAACGTTGCATGTCTTTAACTCAAATGGGTGTTTGTATTGTCACTCCCTCCCCCCAACTCTTCATGCACTAGTCATTAATTGTATCTTCCCCCTCTAGGTAGAACATATTATATCACAGGCCCAAAAAATGCATCACAGTTGATTCAGCTGTCCTATGGTACCAGCAGGTTATTTTATGTCTGTGTGTATCTACAATAAAAGTTGGCACCCAATATTTCTGGGAATATTATACTCATGGAGAGGCCTCATTCTCTTCCACAGTGTGACTCTCATACTACTTACTCATAAAATCATGAAACTTTTCTTTTTTGTTTTACTGTCCACAGAAGAAATCAGACCCTCATACACGAGGATTACAGAACTGTTTAAACGCATTAACCTCCAAACCACAAGTATACCATAATATGTCTGAACATTGGATATTTTGTTGTCCTGCTTCCCTGGAGTTGAGTATGATTAGTGTCCTTCCCTGTCCATTGGCCATGTTGTTTGTGTGTCCCTCTGAATAAAATGCAACACAAAACCCACTAGCTGTATGTGTCTGCCAATGTGCAAGATTCACCACAAGACAATACAGAATATGCGTAACAACATATTACAGAAAGTGACTTCAAAGACAAGACAAGACAAGAAAAAATCAACGGCATAAGTAATTAATACAGATTTAAAAAATACTACTGTAAAAGTAAGACAAGACGTTTTAATCTGAGTAAAATATCTCCGGATACCATGCACAGGAGGGGAGGGGAAAACCAAAACAAATTGAAACAAACAAAAAACTAAATCAAAAATTAGCAATGCTTTTAAGACAGCGTGAGACATGAGAGAATCAACAATGTGAGACTATGATACACATATGTACAAAATCTGGATGAAGAAATATATCAAGTCGTGGAACCCGTGCTGGCTAAAAAGGTGTCCCTCTAGATTACATACGCCCCCTTGATGGGTGGGAAAGGCACACAACAAAACTGGTAGTAGCAATATGAAAACCACAAAATATATTCAGTACGTGTAACAACAATGAACAGTTATCTTTATAAATTAGTGACGTTCTCGGATGATTTCAAATGCATCAGATACAACCGATAGAAGTTGTCGGGGGACAAGGGTAGAGCAAACAGCTTTCGGGAGTCAAAATGTTTTAGTTGGAGATGGGCATTTGATGCTGTTGATTTTGTTCTGATGCTACGGGTCTGTTTACCCCAACAAACATCTGATAGTGTTCCCCCACTATATCAACTATTTTCAACTGACCTGCTTTCAATCATTTCCACAGCGCTGCCCCTGTTTTCACTATTTTCATTATCATGTCCTATTTGATTGCGTGACTAACAAGCACAAGAGATGAACAAAGGCTGACATTTTTTTTAGAACTGTACTCTAACCCTGCCTTCACAGTCTTGATGTACAAGTCACATCTACATCTGACTTCAGTCTTGATCAAGCCACATCTGACTTCACAGTCTTGGTGTACAAGTCACATCTACATCTGACTTCAGTCTTGATGTACAAGCCACATCTGACTTCACAGTCTTGATGTACAAGTCGCATCTGACTTCACACATCTGAACTACTATTTACACTTTACAGCTCTGGGGCACAAGTTAAGCTTAGCTTTATAACCCTGTGATGCACCTGACTACATACAGCCTGAGGCAAG